ATCATATCATATCATATCATACAGCTAGGGATGCGTCCAACAGCTCCTTGACCTACAAGGGGTATGCCATCACAATCCCCTATAGGTGAAGGCTTTTCAGCCTGACATAGTTTAAATCCTAACGTCGGACACACGACCAAATTTAAGCCATGTCACCGGTCTGATTCCTTTTGTCAGCTAGTTGCCAGACAGTTGTATTAAATACATATTTAAATGCTGACAGAGAGAATCTCCCTCCCGGTTAACTGAGTGTTTAAAAAGGGTATTTATTCATGAGTTGAAACGAATAATTTTAAAATGAATTGATAAATAAGCTTATAATAAGTTATTGAGTTATAAAGAAGGGATTCATAAAATGAACCGACAAATAGATTATATGATAAATTATAAAGTTCTATAGATAGTGGGATTCATTATCGATTTATAGATAAGGGATTCATAAAATGAATCGACAAATAGATTATATGATAAATTTAAAATTATATAGAGAGTGGGATTCATTAGATGAATCGACAAAGAAATTATATGAAGGGATTCATAAAATGAATCGACAAAGAAATTATGTGAAGGGATTCATAAAATGAATCGACAAAGAAATTATGTGAAGGGATTCATAAAATGAATCGACAAAGAAATTATGTGAAGGGATTCATGGGGTATTTTCCCGGAGAAATTTTTTTTATATTTTTGAGAATTAAACGTTTTTGTAAAACATTGTAGCTTATCATTATCATTATCATAATTTCTATTTTTTTTAGCATACCCAGACATTAAAGGAGCAAAATATTTTAATATGTACATTTGTACTGCTCTCTATTGTATTTAAGGTCCCCCAGATTTTATTATGTACTGACAACATAAATAAATGATTATATGGTTATACATAAATTTGCATGTTACTATTTAAAAAAAATATTTTACAAAAATGCTATCTACAGTTTTATTTTTAGAAAAAAAAATTTCTCCAAAGTATAAAAAAGTTCTCCAGTAATGCGAATATGATTTCATAAAATTCCGTTTTACTATTTAAATAAAAGGATTTTATGAAAATATATCTACTTTACACAGTCTGGGAAATCAACTATTCATCCTTTAATTCATATTGTTGATTATATTTCTAAAGCGTTCAATAATGATGAAATTGTTTTCGCAGTTTTTCTAGATTTACAGAAGGCTTACGATCTTGTTGATCACGATATATTATTGATGAAACTGGAAAAAATTGGTGTTCGAGGATTAGCCCTTAAATGGTTTAAGAGTTACTTAAGTAACAGAAAACAGTTTGTTATGGTAAATGGTACTCTATCTGATTTTTTTTCCATGATTAATATTTCAGTATTGCAAGGCTCGATCCTGGGACCCCTACTTTTTCTTATTTTTATAAAT